CTTTGTCTCTAACTTGACATAACTGGTTTATCTTGATTTTCTAGATAAGGAAATTGAGATCTACAGATGTGTAAGGTGATTGTGAGAGGTCCCTGGCCTGTCTGTAGCTCAGATGGTAGTAGAATTAGGACTAGAATATAGGTCTCTTGACTCCTAGATTTCCACATGTGTCCCAAGGTTGGAACTACGAAGAGCAGTTCAAGAACATAGGACAGAAGCCTGAGGGTCTGCTGTGCTTGTGCTAATGAGCATTAGGGAGCTGCTGAAGTCACTCTTTTCCTGCCCTTCCAATTACAGATGTGTCCATTGAGATGCCAGAGGAGCTAGACATCTCCCAGTTGAGGGGCGCAGGGCTACAGCCAGGAGAGGAAGAGCTGCCTGACATTGCCCCACCCCTGGTCACTCCGGATGAGCCCAAAGGTAGCCTTGGTTTCTATGGCAACGAAGACGAAGACTCCTTCTGCTCCCCTCACTTCTCCTCTCCGACATGTTAGTGATTCTTCTTCCTGCCTGTCTCTCTCCCTTACTAATGGGGGAGGGCTTCTCTGCATTTTCCACCATCCTTTATGTTTCTCCTGTCCTCCCTGTCGAATTCTCTCTGTACCTTTATTGGATGTGAAGACTGGCTACAATACTCCCAGCTGCATTCTTAAGATGGATGTCTGTAGCCTTGGCTAATCTCCTATATCTTTGTTGTTTCCTTGGTTTGGCTTGGGGAGGGGTATTATACTTCCTAAATGGCAGAAAATCAATCCCCTTTGGGATACCAGGTCCACATTTTGCTTGTGGTTATTTTTAGTTCTGATAGGAATACCTGTCTGTGGAAGAGAAAAACGTGTAGGTAATTGGGAAAAGGCTAGAGGCTTGGCATGTGAGAGGATAAAGGAACACATAGAAACAGTAGCAGTAAGTCATAGTGCCTGCCATTCTACCACAGCGCCCATGCTGGATGAATCCGTCATCATACAGTTGGTGGAAATGGGCTTCCCTATGGATGCCTGCCGGAAAGCTGTCTACTATACAGGGAACAGTGGGGCCGAAGCAGCCATGAACTGGGTTATGTCACACATGGATGATCCAGGTAGGCAGAGGTGGGTAGCGGGATGGGACAGTGCTTCCATCCATCCCCCTACCCCAAACACTCATCCCTTCTGCGTCCACAGATTTTGCAAATCCCCTCATCCTGCCTGGCTCCAGTGGGCCTGGCTCCACTAGTGCAGCAGCTGATCCCCCCCCAGAGGACTGTGTGACCACCATTGTTTCCATGGGCTTCTCAAGGGACCAGGCCCTGAAAGCTCTGCGGGCCACGGTATGGCTGCCCCAGCTAAGGACTTGGAGCTTGTGGGGAAAAGTGGGGGTGGGAGTAAGGTTGTATTAACAGCTTTGGTTAGTGGTACCAAAACCCAGTGTAGTGTGGTTGACGCTGGCTGCCCTCGTGTGATTGTGATAGCCACAGTGTTGGTGAGCCCGCCTGACTTGGTAGTAAATGTGATGCTTCCCTCCTCTCAAGAACAATAGTTTAGAACGGGCTGTAGACTGGATCTTCAGTCACATTGACGACCTCGATGCAGAAGCTGCTATGGATATCTCAGAGGGACGCTCAGCTGCTGACTCTGTCTCTGAGTCTGTGCCAGTGGGACCTAAAGTCCGGGATGGTTCTGGAAGTGAGTGTCTCCAAGGGTCAGGGCAAACCTGGGGCTATCTGCTGCACCACGCCCCTCACCCTAGAGCCCTATCCCCCATCTGAGGGTTAGAAGCTTTGCCTCTCTGATGGGAATTGTGAGGGTGGAATTCTAGGAGCGGAGATACCCTTTGCCCTTGTTCCCTGAAATTCTCGTCCTGAGTTTGAGCTGTTACTGTCGCACGGAACATTGTATTTTCTCCTCTGCTTTATCCTCCTTTTCTTCCCCAGAGTATCAGCTCTTTGCCTTCATCAGTCACATGGGTACTTCTACTATGTGTGGTCACTATGTCTGCCACATCAAGAAGGAAGGCAGGTAAGTGGCTAGCAATATGCACTGTGAGTGAAGAGGTGCTGGTGGGAATGAGGAAGGGCAGCCTGGAAGTCTCTAGAATATTTGTGGGAGAAGGCAGGAAAAAAATGCCTCCACACGGGTAGGCAAGCCGTACCCCAGGGCTTACTCTGGTTATTTGCTTTTGTAAGTGAAATTTTACTAGTGCATAGTCATCTGCTGGTTATGAGTTGCCTGTGCCAGCATCAAAGTTAAACAATTGTGGCAAAGACTGTCATTACTCAGTGAAAATGCTGGCTAATCAATAGCTGTGTGGTGGCTATGGCTGCAGTGCTAGCATTGGAAATGGAGCCAGTGAACCAGTAGTTGAAGCCGATTCTTGGCTCCATGGTGAATGAATTAAGTGAGCCTGGGCTGTATGAGACCCAGTCTCCAAAGGGGATAGGGTGGGCTATAGAGATGCTCAGTGGCTAAGATCACAAGACCTGCTTCAGTTCTGGGCACCCAAATGGAGGCTAACAGCCATCGTACGTCACTCTACTTCCAAGGATCTTGCACCTTCTGGCCTTCATGAGCACCATTACTTATGTGCAGACACCCAAAGACACACACATACTTTAAAAATCCTTTTTTAAAAAAGAAAAAGGGCTGGAGAGATGGCTCACTAGTTAAGAGCTCTAGCTGCTCTTCCAGAGGACTTGAGTTCAATTCACAACAACCATGTGGTGGCTCACAGCCATCTGTAATGAGTCTATTTCCGTCTTATGGTGTGCAGGCAGACATGCAGGCAGAACACTGTATACATAATAAATCTTTAAAAAAGAAGAAAAGGAAAGAAGGATAGAAAACATTGGTCTCTCTGGTTTCTCCAGTTTCACAAGAATGGATGGAAGATGATTATAAAAAATACAGTCCAGGCTGACAAGATCTTAATGAATAAAGGCACTAGCTGTCAATCCTTACGGCCTAAGTTAGATCCCAGAATCAGAAAACTGCCCTCTGGCCTCTAAACACACCATGGTTCAAGTGTATATTAGTGCAAAATAAATAATTGTAATATTTGAAAATACAATCTGGCTAGGCATGGTGGTGCACACCTTTAATACCAGCACACAGGAGACAGAGGCAGCTGGAGCTCTTTCAGTTTGACACCAGCCTGGTCTACAGAGTGAGTTCCGGGATAGCCAGGGCTGTTACTCAGAGAAAAGGGGGGGGAAAAAAAAAAAAACCTGGCCAGATGTAGTTGTATACACATCTAATTCCAGCATTATGGATGCAGAAGTAGGTAAATCCTTGAGTTTGTGTCCAACCTGGTCTACTGGTATTCCAAGACAGCGGAACTCTTGAGGTCCTGTCTCTAAATAAATACATAATATGACATCAAATGGGAGCAGACGCGTGTGGGGTTTTGAAGCTCCTTTCAGACTCCTAGCTGGAATGTAGATTTGGGGATCACAACATAGAATGAAGAAAGTTGGGATCCTTGCCCAGAAACACCTCAGGGATCTCAGGTGGGCACGAGAGATGAACATGATGCAACTTGACATGCCCTTTATTATCCTTCTCTGTCCCTCCCACTTCCCAGGTGGGTGATCTACAATGACCAGAAAGTGTGTGCCTCCGAAAAGCCACCCAAGGACCTGGGCTACATCTACTTTTACCAGAGAGTGGTCAGCTAAGAGCCTGCCCTCAACCCTTACCACTTTGGGCAGGGGACAGACCTTCTGGCATGAGGGCAGGGTTTGAGGGATGGACTTCAACCCCCTGCTCTGTACCCTTTTTCTTTTTGTCCCCAGCAGCTGGAAAGAGCTGGAGGCTATTGGAGAATGGCCAAGCAAAGAGGAGGGATACTCAGTAGACTTTGGGGATAGAGCAGGGATGGGACAGGAAGGGGCCAACTGCCTGTCCACACTGGGACCTTGTTGCTTCCTTCCCCTTCCCTGGAATCCACAGTGCTCTCTCTGCTTCTCTGTGATGGCCCAGCCCCTGGAGTGGGGAGGGGTCCTATCTGTGTGTGCGTGAGTGTGGCTTTATGCATCCCCTGGGGAGGGAGCGACTGTGTCCCCTCCCCTTAAGTGTTTGCTCCCTTGTGGTTGGGCAAAGAAGGATATGAGGGAAATAGGGCCACCTTCCACCCCTTGCCCTTCTGCCTCCTCGGTCCTCTGGAAAAATGCCAAAATACATGATGTGAATAAAAGTAATGACTAGCTGCTTTTGTTTGTTTCTTTAGGGGGAACTTACTTTCCTTGGGGAGCATGTTCAGAGAGGCCCAGCTGCCTCCACCCCTGGGCAATTCTGTCTCTAGTTCTAAAGTGCTTAGAAAACGGACTGTGTGTGTGTGTGGGGGGGGGAGTGTAATAAGGGGGAAAGTCCAGAAGAGTGACTGCATCCCCCCACTGCTGACCATGGAATTTGATCTGGCCCCACTGTTACTGGAGAAATGGGGTCTAGAACAGGCGGTGGCAGTCCATATTAGCAGCCTTACAAGACAGCAGCCCATCTGCCTCTCCCCTCACACACAGACACACACACACACACACACGTATCCAACTCTACTCCATTTGGCCAAGACAAGAGGTCCAGTAATCACCAGCGACGTTTGTGAAACACTTGGACCCCTTACCTTGTGATTGCTGAAAAGGCTCCCCAACCATGGCTCTGCCTTGTGCTGTGGGGGAAGGGGACTTTCAGTTGGAAAGGCGCTCTCCGCCTCGATGAGACTGGTTCAGAGCCCTGTTGCTGTCAGCTCCACCGGGAATACCCTTTGGTCTTCTAAAATCACTAAGTTGGTTTCCCTGAGCGCAAGGCTCAACATAACAACTGTCGAACAACAGGCGGGACGTTTGAGCCCCCGGAACCCCTTCGAACGTTGCTACAAGAAAGGAGAAACGTCAGAATATCGAAACACCGGGAGGTGGATAGGCAGAGGGGGAAGGTCTAGCAGCAAGGGGCCGGGCTAACCATGGCGGAGGGCGGGGAGAAGGAGGAGTTCTGCTTCACAGCGCTCTATATAAGTGGCCAGTGGCCCGGGCTGTGTGCTCGTACTGACCTTCAGCCAGTCTGCTCCAGCGCCATGGCGCCTTCCAGGAAGTTCTTCGTTGGGGGCAACTGGAAGATGAATGGAAGGAAGAAGTGCCTGGGAGAACTCATTTGCACCCTAAATGCGGCTAAGGTGCCGGCAGACACCGGTGAGCTCCATTTGGGAGCGGCGGCTCGGCGGCGGGGGGGTGGGAGGAGGAGAGCGGGGGAGAAGATCGGGCGTGGCAGCACCTACTCCCTTTCCGAGTGGACCTGGATGCTGGCCTGGGGACATGGGCCATTTGGTGTCGGGAAGCAAAGAGATGTGCTGAGGTTGGAAAGGCTTCTAAATGGTGCCCTGGCCCCGTGGAGCAGGAAAGGGATTCTTGGAGTGGGGGCTGGGTGGAAGGTCGCCCCTGGGAGTGCACCGGGGCTGCACCAGCTAGGGGCCACGGTTAAGAAGCGGAACCATTGCCGGGTGGATAATCAAGGAGAGGGGCACGTGTCCTCCAGAGTGTGGAGGAGGAAGCTGAGCTTGCGCGGGCTCCCAGCTACCTGCCCCCTTGTTCTCTAGAGCCGTGCGTCTCTGCACGTAGCCTGAAACTCCTCCCCCGCGTCGCAGCTAGCTTCGGCCTCTGTGCTGGGGGCTCCTACTTCTCTACCCCTCCACAGCCTGAGCCACTGCTGCCTTCCTCTAAGGGACTGGGCAGGTGCCAAACATGCTGAACCGTTTGGGAATGAAAAGCTATCCTACCGCTCTCTTCAATCTGGAAATAGGAAAACACGAGGTCTCTGGGAGCTGCTCAACTCCCTGCTGCTCACAGACTCTATCCTCCATCCTTCCGCCTCCTACCCACCTAAATCAGAGAACCTTGAGAATGACCAAAGGGTGTTGATGGTCTGCTCGTTTATTTCCCAAAGAGCCCAACACAAACTCCAGTAACTGGCCTGTCTTCTTAAGCTAAAAATCCTTGCCGCGTTGGAGAAGTGGGGATGGGCTATTTTAGAAAGGATTGGCCCCCGGAGAATGCTGACTCTAGGAGGTGCCCATTCCCAGAATAGCCTGAGGAAATTAGAGCCATGGCTGTTAAAAGAGCAGAGGGCAGGGTAAGGGCCGTGGCCTATCAGGAGCATTAGGAAAGCTTTGGGATTGGTACAGGCCCTGCCTGGGCTGTGTAGTAGACAAAGGTCATCTTTCTGGAATGAAAAAGGGAGGAAAATAGAACCAAGAAAGCGAAGGCATGACAGTTAGCCTGGAGAATGAAGGCTTTCTTTGATCTCATTCTCAGAGGTGGTTTGTGCACCCCCCACCGCCTACATCGACTTCGCCAGGCAGAAGCTAGATCCCAAGATTGCTGTGGCTGCGCAGAACTGCTACAAAGTGACCAATGGGGCCTTCACTGGGGAGATCAGGTGAACCCGAGGCAGAGAGGGGCGTAGAGGGCAGTTTTCTTGTAGGCTCCTTGCTGAACCTTGGTGTTTATCTGTTTGTTTTAGCCCTGGCATGATCAAAGACTTAGGAGCCGCATGGGTAGTGCTGGGGCACTCGGAGAGAAGGCACGTCTTTGGGGAGTCCGATGAGGTTGGTAAGCAGGAGAGGAGGTAAGGGATGCTTTTATCCGAGAGGGCTGGCTCACTGTATTTTTTCTTCAACAGCTGATTGGGCAGAAAGTAGCCCATGCCCTATCCGAGGGGCTCGGAGTGATTGCCTGCATTGGGGAGAAGTTAGATGAAAGGGAAGCCGGCATCACCGAGAAGGTTGTTTTCGAGCAAACCAAGGTCATCGCAGGTATCTCTGGAGAAGGACCTTTGAGCCTAGCAAGGGCTGCCGAGATGGGTGGGGAGGTCAAAAACCCTGCCACCTGCCTGATTGTGTTGAGCCAGGAAAAGAGGGTGACTTGCGTGGTCCTTGCCACTTCTGTTCCTGCAGAAGGCGGAAACCCTACCGTCAAACGTCACTAGGTGCTGGTGAAATGGCTCTGTGGGCAAGGGTGCTTCCAGCCAAGGCTGAGGGCCTGTTTGATCCCCCAGACCCACATGGTAGGAGAGAACTCCTGCAAGTTGTCCTCTGGCCTCCATATGTGTGCCACATGTATACACACACTCACATATAAATTGTTTAAAAAACTAGGTGATGAGAAAAGGCTCCCCAGGGGCAGCAAGCCATTACTGTTACACCCTAGAGAGCTTTGCTGGGCAGCTCCCTCCTCTTCACTGTTTTCGCCCTGGTCTCTGTCCTGCAGATAATGTGAAGGACTGGAGCAAACTGGTCCTGGCCTATGAACCTGTATGGGCCATTGGTACTGGCAAGACTGCAACCCCTCAACAGGTAACTGCCCAGGAGCCCCAGGGGTCCCCAAACTCTCCAAGAAGTGTGACTTCCCAAGGATGCTCATTTCTAGACCTTGCTATTCTCTGATCCCAGGGCTTTTCCAGAAACTAAACCCTGTCCAAGCACCAATGGGTTTTGTTTGTTTGTTTGTTTCTCTTTGAATGAACAGGAAAGGTCTTACTTGGTCTACCTTCTCTTTCTAGGCCCAGGAAGTGCATGAGAAGCTTCGGGGTTGGCTGAAATGCAATGTCTCTGATGCGGTGGCTCAGAGCACCCGAATCATTTATGGAGGTGAGTGGGTCTGGCCCTGGCCAGGATGGAAATGGGCTAAGATCAACTGAGGCCCCACAGAGGTAGGGTTTAAGTGGATTACCCATCCCTGACCGAGCCGCCTTCCTGTTTCTGTTACAGGTTCAGTGACTGGAGCAACATGCAAAGAGCTGGCAAGCCAGCCTGATGTGGACGGCTTCCTCGTGGGCGGGGCTTCCCTCAAGCCTGAATTTGTGGACATCATCAATGCCAAACAATAAGCACCATCCATGTCCCCTGCCCTCTGCCAGGCCAGGACTAGGTTGCCCAGAAGCTTAGGAACAGCTCCTACCAGTCACATGCTCCTGATGTCATCTGCCCCATCTTGTGTCCTAATCCACGCTGGTACCTTCCTGAACCTTTTCCACCTCCCTGTAATGGTTGGGACCAGGCCAATCCCTTTACCACCTAAGAATGAAATACATCACCTGTTTCACCAAGGCTCGGGGAGGAGGGCGGAACGAGTGGAACTGATTCTGTCCCTTCAGGTGAGGCAGGAAAGTGAAATCACCTTTCCTTCCCTTCTCAGTGTATACTGAAGTCGAGATCCTCTGGCCCTAAGAGGCCGGGCATGTTCCCCTCTCCCACAGTGCCCAAGCCCTAGTATCATGTTTGTGAACCATCTTACATGTAAGGGAAATAAACACCTGGCCCTAAGCTTTGCAGTTTGTCACCTTCGTCGCGTGTTTCCATATGATTTCTTAGACAGTGACAGGACTCTGGGGGAGGGGGTGTAACAAAACAAAACAGGCTCTGACAATACCGCTCATTTTTTACTTGAAAAACATCTCTTGTGGCACGCTGCCACAGCCCTTAGGTCCACTTCCTTGTCTTGGCCCTCTGTAAGGGCCAAGCTTCTCCTTGCCTTAGCTTCACTGACTTAAGTTTTGGTCTAGGCCAATGGTACCTCTCCACCTGTCGCCACCGTGCTGATGGTGGCCAGGTGCCCGCACAATCTGGTGCCAAAGGGTCATTTGTAGAGCAGGTAGCGCTTCATGGCAGCGGGCAAAGGCAGGGTGGAGATTTGGCCAAGCCGGGTATCCCCCAGCGCATGGCGCACACACAGGCGGCTCAGGTGCAGAAGGGATTGTGGTTCCTCGGCTGAGAGAAGGAAAGCAAGGTTAGTAGAGATGCATTTGCAGTCAGACATCCTCAAACTCTAAGGTCCCACTCAGGCTCCTTATTCCTTCAGGTCTGCCTGCACCTGAGGAGATCTGAGGCTCTGAATTTCCACACCACACAGCCAGTAAGGCCTGGGAGTGAAGCTAGTTATCCAAGTGACAAGCCAAAGTGACTTAAAGCCCCCTTCCTGTGGCCCAAGCGTGAGTTTCCATCCCAAACCATTGCCAGGAGTGGCAATTCTCTCCCCACACCTAGGCCAGGTCTCACCTCTTCTCTCGCCCATGTAGCGGATGCGGACCTGGCACTGGCCCCAAACAGCGCTTACAGAGGGATAGAGGGTCCTGCCCTTCAGTCCACGGAAGGCTGGTCCCAGGTACGTGCCCCCAATAGAGTAGCCCAGAGTCCCCTCCTCCATGTCGAGAACCACCAACAGTCTCTCTGGCACCACTAGCTGCTCACCCTGAGGTCCGGCTGGGTATTGGGGGGCCTCCAGGCCCTTACTCTGGTGATACAATTTGCCCCGCCCAATATCCCAGCCCCACGACTCGCCGTTGCTGCCCAAAAGCGCCGCGTAGTGGTCAATCTGCAGCGGGGCGAGGGCAGTGGCCACGCCCACCACGGCGTGTGTGCCCCTCTGCTCCAGGGGCCAGCTGATCTCCCAGGCATGCAGGCCCCTCGAGTAACCCTTCTTTCCCCGGACCCCATCGGTGCTTTGGGCCACAGGGCGCCGCTCGAAGCACAATCCCCCTTCCTTGACATCGATGTTCTCGGAACAATCCTTGGGATTCCAGCCGTGGCACCGTTGGGCCCCTAGGTCAGGAGGGGGTGCAGACAGGAGCTCCTCCAAGCCCTCGGGAGGGGAGAAGTCAGAGTACAGAGCATGGGAGGTGGGGGTGCTGCTGCTGCCCCTTGCAAGGGCCGTCTGGCCCATGAGGTGAGCAGCTGAAGGGATCCTCGAAACAGACCTGCTGGGGCGTCTCTCTTCTGAAAGTTGAACTCCGGATCGTCCCCTGGAGCGGTGTGGAAAGAGAACCGACTGTGAAGCGCAGCATCTTTCCCTCCGCTCCCGTCATCCGTTCACCAGTGTGTGCCAACCAGCCTGCTTACTTTTGGTCCCCCAACCCTCCTGGATCCATCACTCTGCTTTCACCCCATCTGCCCCGCGCCCCCCTCCAAGATTCTCACAAGTGTACCCCTCAGACCTCACCAAGGGCCTTCCCCCTTGCCGTCCCTAAGCGTCACCTCGCTGGGCTCTCCAGCCCGCGGGGACCTCGGCCGAAGCACAGACCGACACGGGTAGGGTAAGGTAGACGCGCCCCTGACCCGCCACCGCTTCCGGCTCCAGCGGGCACGCCGAACGCCCGCCCGCGCTCCGCCCCGGGACTCGGTGGGTAGTTAACCCTCTCGTCCCCGCCCAGACCGCGCTCGCCAGCCACGCCCCCCGTGGGTACCTCACCCGCTGCAAGAGACCGAGGCAAAGAATCTGTGGTGATGCCAGTCGAGGACAGGAGCGCATGATTTGTGGAGCCCACTCTGGATGGGTAACCTCTTGTCCCCTCCCAGGACTCGATCTGCCCCGACGCGAGGCTCTTCACCACTTAATCTTTCCGACGCCACCTGAACAGCAGCGTGCCCCGCCCCGCCCCCGCGTCCCTGGCTAGAATTAACCCTTTGATGACATCATAGCCTTGGCTTCTCCAAGGAGAGTGTTCTCCACTGGAGACCTTTGTGCTACCTGTACGAGTCATTCCGAGACCCTAAGAGTAAGAGGCATTGACACCCTTTCTGAACTACTGCTCCCACTTCGTAGAACGTGGGGACTGTTTCTTCCCTGAGTCTCCCTATGACTCTGAAGTGGTAGCCATTCATCCTCCTGCCTCAGCCTCTTGAGACTACTAGTGGGTACCTCCTCTCCTGGATGTGCTTCAAGGATCAGTTTTGAGTGAAGCCAGATCATTAGCTGCATTATCATGGAGATTGCCATTGAGTTTTGACCTCCTCAAATGCCTATTGATAACAGTTCAAATACCCCACAATGCTACAGGTAACTTTAACTCTTTTTTTTTTTTTTTTTTTCGTAATAGGGGCTATGTAACTTTGGCTGGCCTAGAACTCCCTAGACATTGATCGGCCTGCCTCTGACTCCTAAATGTTGACCTAATTTTAACTTTTTTTTCGTTATTGTTTGGTTGGGTTTGAAATAGTGTCTTGTAGCCCATCCTAGGACAAACCTGGCTGTGCAGCCAAAAGATGGCCTTCGATTCCTGCTCCTCTTAGCCCCACTTTCAAGTACTTGGATTATTGGGGTATGAGTCACATATGGCTAATTTTAACTTTTTAAAATTCATGTGTGGGGTTGCTGAGATGGCTCAGGGGTTAAGAACAGTGGCTGTTCTTTCTGAGGACCCAGTCCAGGTTCCAGCACACGACCATCCATACATCCCAGTTCCAGGAGAGTTGATGCTTTTTCTGACGTCCACATGAATGTGGCACAGACACACAGTCACAAAAGAAAAAACAAAAAACGAATACGTATGTAAAATAAACGAATCTTTTTCTTTACAAGACAGTGTTTCTCTGTGTAGCCCTGGCTGTCCTGGAACTCGCTCTGTAGATCAGGTTGGCCTCGAACTCAGAAATCTGCCTGCCTCTGCTTCCCAAGTGCTGAGAAGCACCACCATCCAGCAAAACAAAGTAATCTTAAAAAATAAAATCTAGATGTAATAATATCCTAAATTGTGGGGCTGGAGAGATGGCTCAGTGGTTAAGAGCACTGTCTGCTCTTCCAGAGGTCCTGAGTTCAATTCCCAGCAACCACATGGTGGTTCACAACCATCTGTAATGAGATCTGGCGCCCTCCTCTGGTGTGTGGGCATACATGGAGGCAGAATGTTGTATACATAATAAATAAATAAATCTTTAAAAAAAAATAATAATATCCTAAATTGTGTTTGTGATTGCTTCCTTTTGGATGCTGGGAATTAAACTGAAGTCCTGTTTACTAAGCAAGCATTGCTTTACCGTTCAAATATGTTACTTGGTGAATTTTACACGCATGTGCACACTTGATTGACACCACCAACAAAGTAAAAAACTTCACTAGCATTCCAGAAGGCTTATTCTTACTTACTCTTTCCCATGGACATAACTGGTAAAATTTTTTTGAAGGGGATCAGGATTTTTTTTTTTTTTTGGTTTTTTTCGAGACAGGGTTTCTCTGTGGGTTTTTTTTTGTTGTTGTTGTTTTGTTTTTTTGTTTTTTGTTTTTAGAGACAGGGTTTCTCTGTGGCTTTGGAGCCTGTCCTGGAACTAGCTCTGTAGATCAGGCAGGTCTTGAACTCACAGAGATCCGCCTGCCTCTGCCTCCCGAGTGCTGGGATTAAAGGCGTGCGCCACCATCGCCCGGCCTTTCTCTGTGGTTTTGGAGCCTGTCCTGGAACTAGCTCTGTAGACCAGGCTGGTCTCGAACTCACAGAGACCCGCCTGCCTCTGTCTCCCGAGTGCTGGGATTAAAAGCGTGCAGTACCACCACCTGGCCGGGGATCAGGATTTTTAGCTCTGTAGAACACATCACCAAGTGGGGCTGGAAAAAGATGGAAGACTGCTTTTCAACCAAGGCTTTAGGTTTCCATTTGGGAAATAGAAACACAGTTGGGCATTTTCCCCAGGAAGATAGCAATGGGAGTTACTGAGTACCAGGCTCAGCAGCGCCCTCCCAGGGTTCAGAGCAGGACGTCTACAGCAAGCAAAAGCTGGCTAAGAGATCTGAGGGTAAAGAAAATAAATTAGCTCACATAAGTCTTTTTATCATGTCTCATTTATTCTTCCTATGCTCTCTCCAATCTTCTCTTGATGTTTCCCTTTTGATGTTCCTCCTTGCTGTTCCTCCACATTGTTCTTCCTATCCCACAAGGTTTCTAGTTTATACTCCCACAGACATAGTTAACAAACATGCATTAAATTTTTTTTTATTTATTTTATGGATATGAGTGACCTGTCTTTGGGCACACCAGAAGAGGGCACCAGATCCTATTACAGATGGTTGTGAGCCCCCATGTGGTTCTGGGAATTGAACTCAGGATCTCTGGAAGAGCAGCCACTGCTCTTAACCACTGAGCCATTTCTCCATCCCCAAACATGCATTTTTTAGGGCTAACAGGATGCACAAAAGACTGACAAGGTAGGCACCATGTCTCAGAAGGGGCAAGACTGTGAAGATCCCTGGCAGATACTAGGAGTATTAGGATGGAGGCCAAGATCCCAGTGCTGTATCTGTTGTCACCCAGGTGACACTCGGGAATTCCTTCTCTGGAGCTGGTGTAGCGACCCAAGCCCTTTTCCTGTATATTTCAGGGGTAAAGGTGCAAACAGTTAATTTCCTAGACTAAGACCTTGTGTCAAGTGAAAGGTGAAGGTAAGTACAGAATATTAATAGCTTGTTAGGGTAGAGTAAGGGTTAGTCCATTACACCTTCCTGAGTCTTCCGCTAGGGAATTCAGGGCCACCCAGACCTGTTTGTCAGTAAGAGCGGACATACTGTCTCTCTGCTCAGTGCTCAGGGCTCCTTTCTTGTCAATAAGTCCTACCAATAAGGATAATTATGGTGGACTAGCTGTATGTAGATTTGACTGAGAGCAAAGGTTTGGCTGAGTGAATGCTTTCACGCCAGGGCCCCACAATGTGGGAGAAGGTATACAGTTGCCAGTACAGGAAAGTCAGGTTTAAAGAGTGCTTTATACACTGCTGGGATATTTGGGGATGAATCCCATGATGGAAGGGAGAAATGTCATGCTTTCACAAGATTCCTACAGAATTGACAATGACTATCCAAACAACAGTTGTTCCTGAAGCTCTGCCAATTGGGTTCTCCACCGGACCATACCCGTGTGAATCTGTTCACGATCTACCGCTGTATTTTCACTGTGTGATACTTGTGGTTCACATCGAGATACCTCCTTCAAGCTGGAAGACAGCCCTTTTGCCACTGACTCTAATGCACTAGATCCACCTTGGTGCCTGTTCCCCCAGACATAGCCTCACTAACAGTCTAAGTCCTTTCTAAAACTATGAGTCTATCGTTGGCTAGTCTTGAACGTCCATCCAAAGGCTACCTTGTCTAGCAGGAGCTTTGAATGGTGACTTAAGACAGAACATTAAAAAAAAAAAAAGATTTCATTTTCTGTGTGTGAGTCTTTTATTGAGCGCACTCATGCATGTGTGTATGTATACCATACACTTTCTTGGTGTCCAAGGAAGCCAGAGCAGGACACAGGGTCATCTGGAATTGGGATTATAGACGGTTGTGAGCCACTGTGTGGGTGCTGGGAACCACACACTTGTCCTTCTGCAAGGGAGCCAAGGGCTCTTAACCTTTGAGCTGTCTCTCCAGCCTGAAGACAAAACCTTCCCTGTGGTCTCATTCCTCTGGTCTCATTGGGGAACGTACCCAGAGCCTCGTGACCATACTCCACTACTGAGCTACAAGCCCACCCTGAATCAGAGTGCCGCCTTGACATTCTATGTAGCCTTGCATTTCCAGTGCTGAGCATTTTCTGGTTCATGTCTTCTAGCAAGAAATACAAGAGATCTATACGGCTTTGGATTTTGGTTGGTTTGGGTTTCATTGTTGTTTGCTTTTTAGTTTTTAAAATTATATTTATTTTTGTGTGGATGTGGTTGTGTGTGACACAGTCTGCAATGTGTGGAGGTCACAGGACAATTGTGAGGCAGCAGCTCTGTTTCCACCTGTGAGTCCCAGAGGTGAAGCCAGGCGGCCAGGCATGGCAGCAAGGGCCTTTACCAAGTCGCCATCTTACAGCCTCTGTGCATATGTGTTGTTTAATGTACACGGTGTTCTGCCTACATGTATGTCTGTGCACCATATGGGTGCACAGCTTACGGAGACCAGAAGAAGGTGTTGGCTCCCCTGGGACTAGGGTTACTGATGGTTGTGAGCCAACATGTAGGTCCTGAGAATTAAAAATGGGTCTGCTTTCGTGCTGGAGAGATGGCACAGCAGTTAAGAGCACTGCTTGTTCTTCCAGAGGATCCGAGTTCAATTCCCAGCATCCACATGGCCACTTACAACTATCTGTAACTCCAGTTCCAGGGCTCTGATACCTTCACACCAATGCACATAAAATAAAGTTAAATAACTTAAAAAGAAAATGGGACTGCTAGAATGCTAGAAGAGCAGAGGATTCTTAATCACTGAACTGTCTTTCCAGTCCTTGTTTTTGTGTTTGTTTACTTATTTGATTTGTTGTTGTTGTTGTTGTTGTTTTCTGGGGGACAGCATCACATGTAGCCCAGGCTGGCCTCTGACTAGTGCGTAGCCAAGGATGACCTTTAACTCTTGATCGTCCTCCAAGTGCTAGGATTACAAGCATGTACCACCATGCTGAGCTGCCAATTTTCTTTAAAGATGAATCACTTGAACTTCGGTGGAACTGTAGTAACTTTAGAATTGGATGACCCTCTTTTACAAATGTCTTTAATTGCATTTATTTTTGTTTGGAACAAAGGGAACACTGGTGAAGGTCAAAGGGCAACCATGTGGGTGCCAAGAATCATACTGAAATCATTAGACGTGGCCACAGGTGC